ATAGTTGGACTTGGTCCTCCAAAGAATCTCCTTTGACTTTTATTTGAAGTATCTGCAGATGCTTGCAGGACCTCTTGGTTATAAACAATAAAATAATTAAATGATCTATATGTTTATTTATTTTCAACAGTTTTAGAGTTTTTAGTTGAATGTTATTTTTATTTTTTCGTAATGTTTTCCTCCTGAAGATCCTGATTTGTGAAAAGAGAAAACATCAAATGTTGAGTTCCAGGTTTTATCCAGCAGCCTAACAAAGCCTGGTTTTAGTTTGGGAAACATGGGGGAGTGGAACACCCTGATCAAGGCTCCAGGACTTTGGACTGCATGCATGTTGCATCAGTCTGTAAAAGCCTGATCACTGGATAAACTGTAAAAATCTATTTCTATTCTAACATGACTCCTATATTGTTCTAATATCGATCTGCTGCAGGACTTAAAGGGACAGAGTTTAATGAATTTAGGGTGTAAAAACTATTATAACTTTAGTGAAAAATCTGAGCCGTTGTAACTTATTACAATTTAAAAATGACCAGAATTGATCATGAGAGGAGTTTTTAAAAACTGTCTGGGCCTTTCTGGTTCCAAAACTTCATTTCATGTCCAGGTTTACTTTCTGTCCATAAATCTTGTCCTTCTGAGGCTGTGAAGGTAAATCTGTGTTTTGTCCAATATTGAGTCACAAACCTAAAAAAATAATGAACCAGTTTAATAATAGAGACGCTATTAGTCAGCTTTATATAGTTTTTATTATATAAAAACCATTTATTTTCTGAGAATGTGTTTATTTAAGAACAACTATGCAAATGAACATCTAGAAAAAGTAGACTATATTCTATTATTTTCCATGTGAATCCCAGATTGTTCATTCTTCTTTGCCTTTTCTATAAAGTGCTTTAAATCAGTCCCAGCTGCCTTTATCCACGCTGGATCAGATCCTGACCTTTGAAAAGGGGCCAGGGAAAGCAGGATAAAGCCTTAGCCTCGCTGCAGGAAGTTAGCCTCTCTGCTGGCAGTTAGCCTCGCTGCACGCAGTTAGCCTCTCTGTTGGCAGTTAGCCTCACTGCACGCAGTTAGCTTCGCTGCAG